GCAACACCTAGGGGTTGTAACTTTACTTATAATGCCTTTATTTGATGGTCCTCAGTTTATTTGCTGACCGAAAAGCCTCCTTAAGCTGGCGGTGGGCGGTGTCTGCAGCCTCCCTCGGCCGGCGAGCAGGCAGATCATTCGAAGAGCGGGGTTCGTACCCGGACATCGTGCCAGGGGTCGTACTGATATCACCACTTCACACATCACGATGCTCTACCCTGGCCAGCGACAGTATGTAAGAGAGCCGTGATTCCGCAGGAGTAGCATCTATGCGATACAATAACTTGAATATATCAAAGGAGAGGGGTACATTAGAGCCAGCAACTCAACACAATGACCACCTAAAGGCAGTCTATTGGCTCGAAAAACTAGAGGCAGAGCATCTTTCTGGTGATCACCGCATTATTTAGACAATATTGCGCACACAATAATGAAAAGAAGTCGGCTATCATCGCAACCGAACTCAAGAGAGCTTACAGTGTTGGCGTCAAGCTGAAGAAGATGAGCAATCTCTACGGTTGACTGACCCTTGCCTAAGTTCCAGGACAATGCCGCACTGATATTGGACTGCTCCCCAGTTTCTCGGACAGCCTCGCTATGGTTCTCTAATTTCTCTTAAACTTGTTATCATGGATATACTGGGCCGCGCGTTGTCGTGGCGCAGGAAGATATAATGCCATTCTCGGAATTCCGCTCGGACCATTTTCAATAGTGGTCTTGGTTAGATGGTAGCCGTAAATGCTTAGGCAGTATCCAGCAGCTTTCCTTGGCAGTTCCATGAGCATGAATGTTCCGCGAAGATCTGCTTTTTGCTGTACAGACGGCGTTTCTTGGTAAGCTTATGTGGTTCACAGCGTACGTCGCCAAAGTCAGCAATGCCATTATTTGCCGGGACTCCTGATTTGGACGAAGGAAGTCAAAAATAATCTTTCGAAGAACTAATGTATGTATTGCAGGAAATTTTTCTGAAGATAAAGAAAACGACTAACACGCAACACCATGCGGAAGAGGGGTCGTTGTTGTTCTTGGTAGCTTTCTTCGGTAGACTTTTACCGTTTAACGTGCGCAGGCCTGCCCTCCTCCCTACAATAATCTGAAGACATTTCTGGCAGCGATCTTATCGGAGAAGAAAGTATGGGGGGGTCGCGTTTAGCAAATATTTTTTACATCACCTGATGAGCCGCTGGTAGGCAACGATCGTTTGAAAGGTCGAGGCTAGTATGCATAAAACTCGGACTACTAATGAAATAATTGATCTGGCAAAACGAACCATCCATCTGATAGCGAAGTGAGACGCCTTATTTCTCTTAAACTTGTCAACGAGGGATGATAAATAAACGGTTCAGTTTTGTCACTGACTAGTAGCCTCGGAATGTGTTACGTTGCGCTACGCATGCATTTGCACTGTACATCACCGCGCAATTGTCGGGTCGCAATCAGCGCTCGCACCTGCGGCGTTACTCATTGGTGTGCTCCTCCCTAAATCGTCTTTTTTTACCCCGACGCGACAGATCGGAGCAACGGGGGAGGCGCGAACGCCCAATTCGGAGCCGCGTTGCAGGGGTCCCCCTCCGACAGTCCGCAGTGATGAGGTCTGTAGCTTCCATTGTATCCCAGAATGCCGGAGTGCCGCTTGAGCTGCAAACATATTCCCGCATTGCCAGCTGAGAGATGTAGGGGGAAACTAGATGGGCTGATTTTGAGATGAAGGGCGATCTCCCTAAGTCCTATTGCGTGATACGGGTGTTCCCCTGTTGAATGACATCTGAATCCACTCATTCAAAGGCTGTACATTGCATAGATGGCTGCGTTAGCTTTTCTATGTCGTTTTGCTTACTTCCAGATTCTATACCTTTACAGGAAAGAAATTTACTGTCTCTGCGTTTACAACTCCAAGTACAGGCCGAGAATAGCCTCATGGTCCGACAGACGGTAAGAAAAGCATTTCTAGCTGATCCTGTATCTTCTAGATAATGAAGAACTTCGTTATCGCATTACGGAATTTCCTCTTGTTATAGGTTTGTACCGCGTAGCCAGTCAAAATGAAAGTGATACCATTTTGAGACGTATCATATAGTCTGCTTCACTTATAAATATATCGACAGTGACTTGTAGAATGACTTATGGAATGCGCACCCCCACCAACACAAGAAAAAGTGCCCCGAAACTTGTTCAACAGAAATACGCATAAACAGGAAATTAACAGCACATTATACTGCTTCACTTCTTTGTTAGTAGGAAAGTTTGTTTTGTATTGATGCTCACCACAGGCAATGGTTCTGTATTATGTCCAACATTTCCAGTCATACCGTTGGAAGTTAGATGTCGTTATGCATTGCATACCAAAAGTCGTAAACGAGACGGGCTTAACCATGTGAAACCAAATGCTATGTGTTGTGACAAGAACCAGATCTACACCGCTACATATGAATAACATCCCCACGCCACACAATAAAATCACTACTCCACT